GCTGGAGCCGCGCGCGATGCGGGCGCTCAGGGACGGGCTGTGCGTGCCGGACCGCCCCACGCCGCCGGTCTACTGCGTCGGGCCGCTGGTCTCGCCCGGCGGCGACACGGACCACGACTGCCTCCGCTGGCTGGACGCGCAGCCGGACCGCAGTGTTGTGTTCCTCTGCTTCGGGAGCCTGGGCACGTTCCCCAAGAAGCAGCTGGAGGAGATCGCCGTGGGTCTGGAGAGGTCCGGGCAGAGGTTCCTCTGGGTCGTGCGGAGCCCTCCCGGCGGACCATCCGCCGACAACGTCGGCGCGCTCCTCCCGGCCGGGTTCCAGGAGCGCACCGAGGACAGGGGGCTCGTCGTCAAGAACTGGGCGCCGCAGGTGGACGTGCTGCGCCATAGGGCGGCCGGCGCGTTCGTCACGCACTGCGGGTGGAACTCGACGCTGGAGGGCGTCGTGGCGGGACTGCCGCTGCTGTGCTGGCCGCTGTACGCGGAGCAGAAGCTGAACAAGGTGCGGATCGTGGAGGCGATGAAGCTAGGGGTGGAGATGAGAAGGGACGACGACGACGTGGTGACGGCTGAAGAGGTGGAGGCTAAGGTTAGGTGGGTCATGGAGGACTCCGACGGCGCGCGGGCGCTCAGGGAGCGCGCGGCGGCGGCGAGGGACCGAGCGGCCGAGGCGCTGGCGGAAGGGGGCCCGTCGCGTGCAGCTTTCCTCGAGTTCCTCAAAGACCTGTTGGCTTCGGAAGGCATGGTTAATGTTTGAATTTAGGAGTAAAATATACTTATAAAAAAAGTTACTCCGTCCTTAAGAGTGCTTCATTGTGTTGATCATTTGTGTTTGGACAGCTGTAGTTTTAGTTATGAGATGTGAGCCTTATTGATGTATCATGATGGATGTGACAGATTATTTGAATTTCATATTTGTATCATGTGTGTGAGATATGAGACTTTGTGCTATGGATGTACTATATTCGACAAAAAAGAGTGACGTTTTTTTACTTTCAGACATCGTGTTTGACCGTTCGTTTTATTCAAAAATTTTTTATGTAAACTATAAAATAAATAAATTATTATTAAAATATCTCTAATGATAAAATAAGTTATAGCAAAATATATGATATTTATAAAAAAATTTGAATAAAACGTATGATGAAACAATATGTCTGGAAGTAAAAAACGATACTATTTTTTTGGGACGAAGAGAGTATGTCACGAGACATGATCTTTATCCTTGTGATATAATATATCTTAGTGGTTTGTACACTTGAGAAATCTTGTGATGAGTGCTAGTCTAAAAAAATGCAATTATAGCATTTTCTAAAAAGAATACAATTAAAGAGTTTGTGTCAGTCAAAGTAGCTTTTAACTAAATTTATGTGAATAATATTAACATTTATGTCTCCAACTAGGTTTACTAGAAAAATATTTTAAAATTAATTTAATGATACCCATTTTCTATTATAATTGTTACTACATTTGTATATAACTTTGATTGAACTCTAAATTGTTTGACTTTTTAAAAAATAAAAATTATATATTTTTAAGCACGAGGGAGTACTTTTTTACTTTAGTTTCTCCCTTTCTTTTGCCCAACTTACACTGAATGCACCAATAAAAGAAAGTTACACTGTATGTACATGGATACATATACAAATACTTTTCTATTTATAAGAAAAAAAATTCTCCCTTTTATAATTGCATTTTTTTCTCTCCATACAAATCGATTTTTTTTGGCAACAGTTTCTCCTATGCGGTAGGCCATATATGTCCAACAAAAACATGTGGCTCAGGAAAGTATTTTTTTTCTTCTAAAGATAACGAGTGACGACGACCCTAGGAAATAGCAATGTGCAAGCGAAAAGTTCACTTTAAGATGGGACCCGCATAAATGCACAGCAGTTGTTACTTGGTGCCCAAATTATATTTACCTGTTCGCTTGAGCTCAGTTCGTTTATGTCGAAATTTAGCTTAGGCTGATGTTTATGGCCTTGTTCGGTTTACCTTATAATCCGTATTATTCAACTTATTTTTTTAGTCGGAACAACGTTTTTCTCTCACAACAATTCAGTCAGAATAGTGTTGTTTAGCTAATTTAGCCAAGTTTCAGCAAGTCGAACGGAACCGATGTTAAAATGTTGTGAGAGAAAAACACTGTTTCATAGCTGAAAAATAGCTCAAGATGGTTTACATGCGTCTAGGGTCAGTTTGGCAGAGCTCCCAGAGTAGCTTCTAGTAGAAGCTGAATCCAGGAGAAACTCTACCAACCATTTTTTTTTTTGCTGAAGAGTGATTTTTTTGCTGATTTTGTGAAGTAATTAGCTGAATTGAACTAGAAGGCTACAAGCTGAAAAGAGTATCTTCTCCTAATTTACTCGATGCCCAGAATCATCGTATTCATAGAGTTCCACGGAGAATCACTTCTCGTAGATAATCAAGTTGGACAGGAGTACCTATCCCTTCCACCTCTCTCAACTCATTCTCGTCCATGGCTGCAAGGTTGCAAATCCAACCAGATCGTCTCCATAACATGCAACTAACCATAGTCAGAATTGGAGCTAGCATCTCTTGAATCGAGTTCTTCTCTTGCTGAATCGAAGCCACGGGCATGGGATTCCGACCTCCACCTGCACATGGGTGTCGCGGACGAGCAAGTGCCGTCGACCGACCATGGGAGGCCTAAGCTAATAAATAGCGTATAGCGGGTTAGCAGTGGATTGGCGTCCGTAGCAGCGGATTATGGATAGCGGACGATATTGCGGACAATAAGTTTCAATAGCAGCACTCGATAATCTCACATAATTTTAAGTACATATATCATAAATAATGACTATAAATAGATATTTAATTGCACTCAAAGAACTGATGTCTCATATATTTAAATTAATAAAATAAATATGGTGTTCCACGTATTAAATCATCACATTAAGAGTTTGTAAAGAAACATATTATTTGCTTCCACGCTATTGTGGCCTGCTACGTGCAATTGTGGCACGCAATATCATCGGCTATTCAAAATTACGGCCACAAAGTTCCATGCTGCAAAGTTTAAAGCGCTACCCTATAGCGAGGCAACGAGTGTTACCGCCGAAATTGCAGCCGCTACCACTGCTATTTATTACCTCCCACGGTGATGAAAAGGGTGCCTGGCATCTGGAGCTAGGCATGGAATGGGGGGCTTGGGAGGAGGTCGTGCGCTTCATCCTCCAGCTCATCAGCAATAAATGTTATTTATTTCTTATGGACGCATCTTAATTCTTGCAGTGCAGTTGCACAATGTTTATGGTCTAATTTGATATTAGCAAAATATTGTTCTAATTAAAAATTTATGATTGTTTATGACCCAGCGAACATGCCGGTAATTGTTGTGGGCGGCGTCACTCGAGGTGTCTTCAAGAGGACTTTACTCCGCCTCTTTTACCCTTTCAACGGTCAGGCGTGCGAAGGAAATGTTATTTATTTCTTATGGACGCATCTTAATTCTTGCAGTGCAGTTGCACAATGTTTATGGTCCATTCCTATATTAGCAATAAATGTTTAATGTCACCTTTTAAACATATATGTCCATGTTTAGTTGGGTGAAAGTAGGAAAATTTGGTTACTGTAGCACCTTTGTTTTTATTTGGCAATTAATGTTCAATCATGAACTAATTATGTTCAAAACGTTCGTCTCGCAATTTCCAACTAAACTGTGCAATTAGTTTTTTTTTCGTCTATATTTAATGCTCCATACACATATCGTAAGATTCAATGTAATAGCTACTATAACACTTTTTAGAAAAAGTTTTCGCAAACTAAACAGTGCATATTACGGGTGCCTTAAGGGCCGATACATTGCTACATGTCCTCCTGGCCGGATAGCCAGCGCAGGGTAACGTGTGTGCAGGAAAAGAATGGGACGTACGAGAGAGAAAATTAAAGGAGAGGGCGGGGATCAGCAAGCAAGGGATGGACGTCGGCAGGCCACTTCCCAACTACTTTAGCCCTTATTTAGTTTCACCTTAATTTCTAAAAAATTGCTACAATACCTGTCACATCGAATGTTTACGACCCGTGCATGGAGCATTAAATGTAGACGAAAAGAAAAACTAATTGCTCAGTTTGGTGGGAAATTGCAAGACGAACGTTTTGAGCCTAATTAGTTCATGTTTGAACACTATTTGCCAAATAAAAATGAATGTGCTACAGTAACCTCAAAATCTAAATTTCGCGAACTAAACAAGGACTTACTTTACTTTACGATGAATGCATGATGTTAATGTTTGTACGGAACCACGAAAACATACGAACCTCAGGATGCTATAAGTCTTATCGTCTAAATAAAATTTATGGCAAACCATGTGCCGTCCTTTCTAAGAAGAAAAAAATCAGGATGCTAGTCTTGTTTGATGTTGGCACACGGGGCGGGACACTCTCTCTTTCCTAAGCCGCCCATAATAAAGTGTGACTAGAAATTAATTAAGCCTTCTCACCAAATACCTGCCCAGGAAACTATGGTGCACTCAAATTCAAATTCTAAGACTTTTGTTTTTTCCTACATAGTTATTCTATATACTTTTTTTTTGACTCCCATGGGGAGTTGAACTTAGGCCTGTTGAATGCTACTCAGGTGCTTTAACTACTAGATTAGAGACCCTTTTACTTCTTTCTATATACTTAGATATACATTATATTTAAATATATCTACCCTACTCTATAATACACCAGTTAGAATAAATCTAAAATCACACAACAAATGTCTGCTCCACAGTTATGACCTATACTACATCTACATCCATAAATACATCCAAAAAATATAACATCATCAAAATATGTACACCAAATTATCTTTTAGCCATTCTGTCTCGTTACTCATGTAAATTCAACGGCTCACGTTTAGCGTGTCTTCCCTCCATCGACCTCCCGCTGACCTCCCACGCGGGATTTCAGCACCGGCGTTAGGGAAAAAAACAGCATTTCAGCACCGGCGTTTCGAAAGTTCCACACCCCCGCCCGGCCGGCCAGCGGCCATGTCCCTCCCCGGCGGCAACGGCGAGCCCCCTCCCCCTCCATCGCCGTTCCCCTCACTCATCAAGCTCGGCCGCGCGGTCACCGCGAGACACGTCGACCGCCTCCTGACAGTGCTCCTCCGCCGCCGCAGGCACCGCCTCCTCGCCGCGCTCGCCTCCCAGGTGCTTGCCAACGCCATCGCCCCTACTCTGCGCACGCACCTCCTTGCTGCCTCCGCCCTGCTCGACTCCGCGCGGCCGCGTGACGCCGCACAGCGCCTCGCGCTTGCCTCCCGCACCGCCAGTCGCCGCCTCTGGGATGCACTGCTCCGCCGGGCCTGCGCCGGGGGCGGCGACCCGTGCCACGCACTGGAGCTACTCTCCGCTGCCATCGAAGACCACGGCATGGTGCTGTCGCCTTCCACGTACCGCGAGATGGTGGTGTTGCTGTGTGCCCACGGGGATGTGGATTGCGCGCTTAGGGTGTTCGACTTAATGACCAGGAGGGGGTGTCAGGTAGAGGATCGCGTTTGCAGCTCGATCGTTTCTAGGTTATCCAGAACTGGGAAGGCCGGAGCAGGGCTGGATTTCTATGAGAAGGTGAAGAGTCAGTTCAGTGGATTTGATCTGGGCCTTGTGACACTGACATTAGTTATCCATGCTCTTGGGTTGGAGGGGAGAACTGGTGAGATGGCGGAGCTTATGCAGGAGATGGAGTGTAAAGGCATGAATGCTGATGCTGTGTTTTATGGCAGCATGGTTCATGGATACATGAGTCGTGGGTTCTTGATGGAAGGTCTTCGGGAGCATCGATCCATGCTAGAGAAGGGAATCGAAGCTGATGTGACTAACTATACTACTGTTATTGATGGACTCTGCAGAGAAGGTAGTGTGGAGAAAGTAATGGGGTTCTTGGATGAGATGGAGCGAGTGGATGCTAAGCCAAATTTGATTACTTATACATCACTGGTTGGTGGCTTCTGTAAGAGAGACAGGTTGGAAGATGCTTTCTCTATCGTGAGGATACTGGAACAAACAGGCGTGGTGGTGGACGAGTATGTGTATTCGATTTTGATTGACAGTTTGTGCAAAATGGAAGATTTAGACAGGGCTTTCTCGTTGCTCACGGAGATGGAGAATAAGGGAATAAAGGCTAGCATCATAACATACAACGCGATAATAAATGGTCTGTGTAAAGCTGGTCACACTGAAAAGGCTCTTGAAATTTCTGAAGGTGTTGCTGCTGATAATTTTACATATAGCACACTGTTACATGGTTACATCAAAAGAGGTGACATAACCGGTGTTATGGCAATAAAGGATAGGCTTGAAGGTAGTGGTATTTCTATGGATGTTGTCACATGCAATGTTCTTATCAAAGCATCGTTTATGATTAACAAGGTGAATGATGCCTGGAGCTTGTTTCATAAAATGCCTGAGATGGGCTTAAGACCTAATACTATCACCTACCATACAATCATAGACAAACTGTGTAAAGCTGAGGAAGTTGACAAGGCACTAGAGTTGTTTGATGAATACAGGAAAGATTCAGGATTCTCCACTGCAGTTGTTCATGAGTGTCTGACTAAAGCACTGTGTAATGGAGGAAAAGTTGACATGGCTGACCAAATATTTTATGATCTTGTTCAGAAAAAAATAAGGCCCAATTTCTTTAACTGCAGGAAGTTGATTCATGCACACTTCAAAGGACACGGTGAACATGGTGTGCTGGATTTCATTTGTAAGGTTGGTGAATTAAATATTGACTTATTTTCATCTGTTTGTAATTATGCTTATGCTTTCTTAAGCAACAAAAATTGTTGGCAAGCAGCAATGGATGCTTACAAGTTACTCAGAATACAAGCCATTGCTGTGACTAGATCCGTTGCGTTAGCACGGGCATTATACTAGTAACTTAGTAGTAGGACAATAATAAAGAGAGAACACGAATACTAAGTTACTTCTATTCAAGCACTACTCTAGCCAGTGACTGTGGTTATACTGATAAACCAAGATAATGCAAGATAGGATGCAATAACAATTCTGACGTACCTGCCCCAAACTCACCTAGAGGGTTGATTGGGCACAAAGCACCTCTGCCCTATGATTTAACAACTATATCTATCATGGGAGAATACATAGGATGGACATGGCTGTCACCACCTGCCAACTACACCAATCTATCTGGAAACCTAGCCACGTTGCAAGGTACCCGATAGTATAAGCACCACACTTACACTATTTGATACTACTCTAGCCGCACATTAAGACTAGAGCATCAACTAGTGACGAACAACCCATGCTACCGAGAGCCCACTTATCATAGGAATTATAAACATTACCAAAGTATGTTACTTGCATAGAAAGTAACATACTAATAAAGTACTTACAAAAAAGAGACAAAGCTATACCAAACTCCTGAAGATCGCTCCAGAGATCCCACCAAGACTAACTACTAGAGCTACATCTTGAGAGAGTAGAGAGAGAACTACATCTCTTATGTATGAACGTGTGTGTTACAAGTGAGGGGTGAGGGTCCTATTTATAGCCTAAGGTGGAGTAGGGGCTACTCCATCGCCACGTCATCAATTCGCGTGCTCTCCATCCTCCTCCATTGGATCAAACCGTCATATAATCAAGGGTAGAGAGCATTTGAGCATGTGCTTCTTTGCATGGAGGCATGCAAATTGTGGTGGAGAGAGAGTGGGGCACCGAGTGGCCTAGGGGTGGCGCCAGCTGTCCCCCTATGACAGGTGGGGCCTCCCTCCTTCTAGAAGCTTGGCCGACATGTCATGAGTGGGTGTGGATGGTTGTAGATGTTTGTCACATTGGTTGTGCTGACATGCCACGTCAGTGATCCGTGTGATGCTTCGTTCGAGCCTTTGATGTTGAGCTGACTTGAGATCAGTGGTGGAGAAGCCTTGAAGGACCTCTCCCATGGATCAATGACATGGCAGGGGCAGGTGGGACACCAGGCGGTGCCCTTGTGGGGTCGGCCGGCATGGCCAAGTGGGCCTAAGGCCCCCTGCCACGTCCACTTGCCTCATTTGTCCATTTTCTTCACCATTTTGTACAAATTTTTGCTATAATTCCTGCATACAAATAATTCTACAAGTACAAGTGGAACTATGTGAATTATAAATTGAATTCAACACATGTGATGATGTTTTTTCTCACTTTATCATGCTTTTAGGTGGAATATTGATGGTCAAAATAGGTGTTAGTGATCGTCAACAAGCTCCCCCACACTAAACCTTTGCTCGTCCCGAGCAAAGCGGGAAAGTAAAGATTCAGGTGCAATTTGATATAAAACAAGACTTCAAAAGATATGATGCTAACATAAAAGATATACCAAGTCATACCTCGTACCTTGTGGATTTGAAGTGTCTACCATGTGGCCTTGAGCGGTTGAAAAGTGGAACAACTTTGACACCAAGTCATCACTATCGCCTATGAAGCATACTTGGAGTTTTTATAACTTTGCAATTGAAAACTTAGTTCATACTTCTCCTTGAATGGTACTCTCAAGTCACTCAATGGTGTTTGTATCCTTACCAAGGCATTGATTCTTGCCTTCCTTCCTACTTCTAATAGGCTTATGTGGAGTTTGGGTAGGACAAAGTAAAGCACACTTGCATTGCATATATTGCTAAGTCAAACAATAGATCTATGGAGAAAAATGTCATACACTCAGATCAAGGTGTGCATGTGTGTGAAAGTTGGATGATCATGATTACTCCATAGCAATGATTCTTTCTCCATCCTTTATTTGAGAGCAGGGCTAGTTTTTTTTGCTCGACTATGGACCAAAATGTGTCCTCACATTTTTTATTATGGACCTTCATGTGTCCATATTTTTTTTATTTTTTTCAATACTAGCCCATGCCTCATTTATGAGAATGATGAAGAAAAGAACATGCTAACAAACATGGAGTATTTATTTGGTGGAAATGGAAAGGCATGTTTTTGCTTACTTCCAGTGTAGAAGCATAGCATATATTTGGTGGAGTGTATGTTTCCTTGATCTTAAGAGCATGATAAAATTCTCAACAAATGTCAACATAGTTTGACAAAACTCAATACAAAGACAAGTAGCATATGTGAAAGGTTTTTAACATATAATATAATATTTGGCTTTGGTAGGAAATCTCACCATTGAGGAGAAGTGAGGCTATTAATTTTGATGTTTTATAAAAAATCTCCAAGAGCTTACATAGATAGATAGGATTTCTTTAGTCTTTACCATATCTCACTTCACAACTTAGTTGACATGTTTTCCTAATATAGATATGTCCACAAGCAACAAGTATATGAACTAGGTATAAAGTTTATGTTGGACAATCTTTATGAAGTAATGTTCATAGTTTAGCATGATTTATTTCACATTTTAAGTTTGATTTTAGTATATAGCATCTTTCAACACATCAAACATATAAGAATAAAGCAAGAGTGGGCAGAGGGAGTACAAACCAGCGTGCCAAAGTGGTGGAGGCCTGAGAGAAGAATCAGATAGCCTCCCCCACACTAGGACTTTTATGTCACTCGACATTAAAAGTCTAGTGTAGATGTTGGGGCATCCCTCAAAGTGTACTCCAATGTTGAATGATGTTTTGCTCAAGTTGTTGTCACCTTGTTGTGTTGACCCTTCATCCTTTTGAGTTCAACCTGAAAGGTTTAGCGACAAATACCCGAAGGATACAAGTTCTACAAGATGCTTTTGTTCTCACTTTACAAAGTTGCTTCTTTTCTTCTTTCGGGTGAGAACAAAGAGAAGAGACTAAGCAAGATTTTGTTTAGAGTTCTTGGACATGGTACTCCCCTCGTTCTTTTTAATCTTAAAACAGTTAGTGAACAAAGATACCCAAAGGAAACTTGTCCCAGAAGCATTTCCCTCATCGTTTGTTTTTTAGAGAGGCTTTATTATGCAAGTAAATCTTTATTTTATTATTTTTATTTTTATTTTAACCTAAGACAAGATTATTCTAATTTGTTATGCATGAAAGAAAATATGTGAAAATTAAATACAGGATACATACCGATTTACTTGTCGGTGAGGTCTTATTGTGTCAAGTCAATTGAGCATGACTTCCCCATTGAATTCAGCTTGAATTTCTTGTTTCCGCCACACCATCTTGATCTTCATTGAATTCTCTTTCCTGCAAAGGTTAGTGGATAACACATACCCGAAGGAATTCTCGAAGAAACAAGGGTGGCACTTCTGTTTAGTTAGCATGGATAGTTTTCCCCATGTTTTTGGCTCTTGTTTATTGTCCACCAAGTTCTTGCAAAAACTTTCACAAATAAAGCACAACATGACGAAAGAGAGATTAAAGTATTTACAATGCACCCTTCAAAAATGAGAGGTGGCTCTTTTTCATGATGTGCAGAATTCAGAAGCATTTATCTCCATATTTGAATTTATCTCAAAAACTTTACCCATTCATATTTACAATTTTACACAACCACTATCTACACAAGTAGTTTTAGTTCAATAACCAAACTAGATTCCATGTCTAATTTGATTAAGGAAGGCTATTCAATCTAAGCACCTCGCTTAATTTAAAGGCCTATGGAAATGTGATCAGTGCATCCAAACCTTAAACTAGGCACCTTACTTAATTTAAAGGTTATAAATGTATGATCAATACTTCCAAATGGAGATGAGAACATAAATGGTGAACCAATTAAACAAGCATGCTATAGAAAGGAAAGCTAACTAAATGAATGCTATGGTTTTGAAACAAGAATTCTAACTAAATGAATGCTTAAGCATAAATATCTAGGCCTTAGCTTTTTTCCGTAGCGCGAACCATTAGCCGATATCATACCGGATGGCACAGCCAATATATGAATCCGTTGGTCCCGTTTAACATACGTCTACTACGAAGCTAGACTAAGAACCCGAATAGATAGATAACAAAGGAAATTTTGCCATCTGCCTAGACTAGGCATAGTGCCCGACTACAGTTCATAGACTAGGAGCTACCCAAAGAAAGCACTAAACATTTATGATTCAAGCAAACATGGAATGGTAAGAATAAAGTGGAAACATAAATTCAGGATGGTAGGTTGTCACATACCTTGATTGATTTCGCTATCACCCAGAACTTGAGATGGAGTCGTGAGTGATGCAACGCCTTTGCTCTGTCACATATGATGATTTTATCTCCTTTTGACGGTGACCTTTTCTCCATCTGCACATGGTTAGAATGTATATATATGCATACCTATGAGATGGCAAGGTGAAGGTGTTGATGATTCATGAATGACCAAGGACCCTAGGCTCTTGATGATTTTCTTGTAGGAATAAGCCAGAAGGTCAAACGGTTGATGTTGCCCTGTTTATTTCACACTCAACGGGACAAGGATAATCCCACAAAAGCTAGTGGTAAACTAGATTAGCAGACATCAAGGTAAATATCAAAATCTTTACGCCAATTGCTTCCCAGGCAACGGTGCCAGAAATGCTTGTTGATATTTCTTAGCGTCGCAATCAGGTTTGTATCCCCGGCAACGGCGCCAGAAATGCATGTTTATATTTCTTATGCTCATGTAGATAATTCCACAAGCGCATAGAATATCGTTATAGCATTTCACCCCAGAGTATTTCAGTGTATCATTATTTATATTTTACCGCAGGGAAGCAACGGTTAAATATAGTGATAGTTAACCATCACGTATCTACTAACTTGTAACAAACCGGGTTTTTGGTGAAGCCAAAAATATGAACTTTTTAAAAATTTTCCTGCAATGTGTGAAGCATGTAGATGCCAGGTCAAACTAAGAACAATTTATAAATAAATTGTTGCATGCATATAGAATTACTTGTAGGAGTTTGCCGGAGTTCTTTTGTTGGTTTAGTGTTTTGTGTTGGCGAGCACAAGTCCGTAGCAAATCCTTTTGATCCCTTC